GGAGCAGGGGGACACTCTGGAGGTGGCCGTGGAAGGGAGGATCGAGGTCCCACCCGTGACTGACAGTCACTCCATTGTCCCCCACAGGTCTCTGCACCCCCCCGGAGCCTCCCCAAGGAGTCACTGAGCTGGAGGAGACTGGAACTGAGGCTCTGCCCCGACGGACACCTGCTCCTGCCTGGCTACCCACTGCCAAAGGTAAGGGAGTCCCTGCTACTGTCACCCCACTATCCTGTGTGAGGCTGCCCACCCTGTCCTGCTGTCCTTCTGGGATCAGTCCAGGATGCTCACACTTCCCTCCTGTCTCCTATGGGATCAGTCTGGGATGCCCACCCTGCCCTGCTTCCCTCCTTGGTGCAGCCAAGGCTGCCCACCCTGCCTCAGTGTTCCCCATGGGAGTGGTTTGAGGTGCCCACCCTGCCCTGCTCTCCCCTGTGGGTTCAGCCTGGGATGCCCATCCTGTCCTGCTGCCCACCTTGCCTCACTGTTCCCCATGGGAGATGCCTACATTGCCCCAGTGTCCCCCATGGGAGATGCCCACTCTGCCTCACTGTCCCCCGTGGGAGCATGGCATGCTGAGCCCGTGCCTCGCTGTCCCCTTGCAGGCGAGGAGGGAGACTTCTGCCTGCGCTCGTCTGACTGTGCCGTGGGGCTGTGCTGCGCCCGCCACTTCTGGTCCAAGATCTGCAAACCAGTGCTGCGGGAAGGGCAGGTGTGTACCCGGCACCGGCGGAAACCCGGCACCGGCGGAAAGGCCCCCATGGCTTGGAGATCTTCCAGCGCTGCCAGTGTGCCGAGGGGCTGGCGTGTCGCCTCCAGCGAGAGCATGGCCCTGCCGACACCTCCCGTCTGCACACCTGCCAGCGGCACTGAGGCAGCTGGAAGGACGGATGGGATGGGATGCGATGGGACGGGACGGGATGGGATGGGACAGACTCTGGCCCCGCCGGAGCGAAGGTTGTTTCTCAAGGGAACTACTTTTAAGCGACTACTTGCAGTACGTTACTGTGTTGTGAATACTCGAGCTGGCACTTAGCTGTACATAATGCCGGGACTTCCAGTGGCTTTGCCTTTCTGCCTTGTGCTCTTCAAGCCGTGACTGGGACTGTGCACACTGATTGGTTGGTTGCTTGTTTTCCATCTAGCTCAAAGGTTTGTGAGCAAATAAATTCTTCTTTCAAATCAGCCTGAGCTGCGTCTGCATCCCTATCCCTCCCTGCCCCATGGGAGGGGTGAAATGGCCAGAGAGGTGGGGTTGGGGGGGAGGGGGATCATTGCCAGCAAAGACAATGTTTTGTTGGCAAACCAAAGGGAAAGGCAAAGGTTGTTTGGTTGGCACTATTTATTCAACTGCTTTTTAGGAATTATAGCATGCCATGGTAGCCACCAACACCCTCAGGCCACCAAACCAAGGGTGGGCACTGTGACCAAGGTTCTTGGAAGGGCAGGTGTTAGCAAAACACCATCCTCCCTGGTTTGGAAGGGAGGAGGGAGTGAAGGATCACTGGAGAGGCTGTGCTGTACCATGGGACAGGCGCTGAGGAGCACAGTAACCTCAACTGCTCTATCAGCACAATCTTTGCTCCATGCACAATAAACACTTATTTTTCCTTCATTTTGCAGCTTGTTACTGTTGGCTTTCTCCCTTTAGGGCTGGCTTGGAGGGAGGAAAAAAGGCAAGCTCATGGTTTTTTTCTCCACCTCCTTTAGCTTCCAACACTCTCCCCCGTTGCAAGTGTATGTGGAGTGAGAGCAGACAGCATGTGGCTGGTGTGCACCAGGTGCAATGCTGACAACTGCTCTGTGCCTACCCTCAGCCTCCCTGCAGCCTGGGTAAGGTGTCCAGGATGCAAACACACAGTAGAATCTTCTCTGTACAACCTAAAAGTACTTTGCACCCCAGACCCAACAGCCAAGCCCTGGGTGGCTCCAAGGACACCATTTGAAGGGAAGCATCTCACACCTTTTAAATGCTTCCTGCTCATGGGTGTTTAGTGCCTTTAGGGTTAGTGCTGCCTGTTTAGGAACCTTGAGGGCATGGGATTACAGAATGCCAACCCAAACTGCAGCTTTGGCAAGAATCTGAGCACCAGCTGGTGCTGAACCCAGCCCACAAGTACGAAAAATGCGATGAAAGGAGCACATAGCCTCAGGCAGAGGCAAATGATTAGAGCTCCTCTTGCATAGCCAAGGGATCAGCTTCCTTCCAGCTCTGTTTGAGGCTGAGGCTGGGTGGCAGGTTGAGAACAGACAAAGCTGCCCCAAACCAGAGGGTATAACACTCCTGGTCCTTAAACCACCTAACTGAACTGTTCCTTCATCCCAAGGCTGTGTTCACAGCAGCTTTTATGGGAGCTGCAGTATGGGCTGGAGGTTGAAGCAGCCCCTGAAAGAGTTTGTGTCACAGAGGCTTGAGTTTAGTGCTTTAGTTACTGTGCAATGCTTTGAAAATTAAAAATACACATTTAAAGTACTTTTAAAGACATAATTTTAAAAATTATGATTGTGTAACATACATAATTATATGATTATTTTATTATAATAATAATGATTATGCCCAGTAATAGTCAATGGCACCGGGACAATGAAGGAACTTGGCTATGAATAAAAGCATAAGGAACTATTTAGATGGGTTCAAATCTGACATGAACAATGTCATATTTTATCCCTAGTACATATAAAATATGTTTAGGGCTTTTCCCACATACAGTTACAGCACTCCCTTTCACAGATAGATCAGCCCAGCTTTGACACCCAAAGACAGTGAAGAATCCACTTGTGGTGCATTAAATAGTAAACATGCTTCTTTTTTGGTCTGGAATCATAGAACCACAGACTGGTCTGGGTTGGAAAGGACCTTAAAGATCACCTAGTTCCAACCTTCTGCCATGAATCATGTTCTATCACATCTTGCCCACTTGCAAGTGTGCTTGGATAGATGAGGAGCTCAGCTTATCCCACCCAGCTCCAGCCTTGCAGACACATTTCAGCACCAGGGTGGCCTTGTGGTGACACCCAGCACTCTTCAGCACATCAGAAGACTTAATAAAGTGATTATTTTTTTAAGTCTAAAAACCCCTTGGGTGCCATTTCTTGTCATCATTACTGCCACGTTGTCCACCCTCTTTTGTTTTGGGCAGTTTGGTCATTTCCATACTTGCCCATGCATTAGCCAAAAATGCTTCTTATGCCTCAACATTCTTCACTCACTCAGTCTGGAAAAGACAAGAAGAGCATTTTTAGCAGCTATTCTTAGGCAAGAGGAGCTCAAGTAAGCACTGAGGGACCTCTGAAGCACTGGTAGCCTCTGTCTCCTGTGTCCCATTCCCAGCAGGATGGATGTTAACACAGCAGATCTCACCAGAATTATTAGTTTAATGGCTAGATTTCACAAAAGCAACACATCTGCAGTCAGGATCTTTTCCCCTTTGTGCCACACTTGAACTTTCAGGGTTTGTTCTTCAGGTAAAACACGAAGAAATTTGATTTAGTAACATCCCTTAGAAAAAAATTCATGACAATATGACCCCATGTCAGTTGAGATTTAACAAAACTGGTTCTTTAAGGGAGAGATTTTCAGTTTTCTCTTGGCTCTCTGCATTGTTCAGCTCCCAGAACCTCAACCCATGTTAGGTCTTCATCACCCACCTTATCAAAATGCTCATTTAGTGCTGACAGCAGCTCAGAAATGTGGATAAACAGCACCTGAGTTCTGTAAATGCAGTCATGGGGAAGCAGAAGCAAAAGCTGTCTGTGCCTCTAGTACAGGGCAAAGGCATCTGGAAGGTAGGTGAGAGCAGTGGGATTCCCCCAGGAATAAACAGGCACCATCACCATGGTCCCTCCTGTATTCATCTCCACACTGGGAATTAACATTTGCAACCTCAGAAACAACCCAATAACAACAACAAAAAAGCTTATGGGAAGTAGAACATACGAGACTTGAGAAAAAATGGTATGTGGGATGGAATAAACGGAAGAAGCTCTATAAAGCTAAATGTTAGCATTTATAATAATAAAAAACTGAAGCATTGTAAAGGAACCTCTCAAAACTCCTGACTGCTGGCAGCACAGCCTTACAGCCTTCTGCAAGCACAGGGACACCTTCCACTAGACCAGATTGCTCCAAGCCCCATCCACCTTGGCCTGAAACATTTCCAGGGATGGGACAGCCACAACTTCTCTGGACAACCTCTCATCACCCTCACAGGGAAGAATTTCCTCCTAATATCCAATCTATCCCTGCCAGATGTCAGTTTGAAGCCGTTCGCCCTTGGCCTGTCACTCCAAAGTTCCTCTCCAGCCCTCTTGGAGTCCCTTTAGGCACTGGAAGGGGCTCTAAGGTCTTTATGTCCTTTGTGGACTCTCAAACACATCCTCTGCAACCCTGCAGCACTCAGCTAAAAGTAATAAAGCAACATCCCAGCCCCCCAGCACCATAACTACACAGGCTGTATAAGCACAGATGGTTTGAAGGGAAAATAGAATCAGTCTTCTAATCAGTCTATGCTCTGGACCCAGAATGTCTCATCAGAAAGCTCCTCTGCTGCACCTAAGTGCAATAGTGGTGTAAAGACATTCATCTTCCAAGCGAAGAAGTGGGACAATGGTGCAGTTTTTTGCTGTGATTTGTGGTAAAATGAGTTTTCAGGAAAACAAATCCTATTTTCTTCCTAAGTTCTTTCAGAAATGAGTTTCACCCCAAGCTGTTGCACAAGAAATATCTCTTTTAAATAAACCTATAAAGCAGATGCTCACAATTAGTTCACTTGCACTGATCTTCACATCACATTTAAAACTAAACCCTCATGCCCCTAAAAATACTTGTCTGAGGAATAAAACTCCTCTCTATAGTCCTGAAGTGCAATAAAGGGTTACAAAAATCCTCAAATCAACCCACAAGCATTAAGACAGAAAAGGTTCCTGGTTTTTTATACTCTTCTCTCCTGACACAGAGCAAAAACCTGCCCATTTGGGCTCAGAGAGATGAAAGCCCCTCAACAGAGAGAGCAGGTGAAACTCGTTGTGGCTGTAACACAATACAGAAAGCTTTTGGGTGGGTTATTTGGGTTTGTTTTCTGCTATATTTGGGGCTGGGTTTTTCTGCTGAGGAGTTAACCCACCTGCTGAAGCTGCTTTTTGTGCCAAGACTTCCAGCTGGGGGCTTGGCCAAGCAAACCTTGATCTCACTTGGGATGGGAAGCAGAGCATCCAGGTGGCTCAGCTCCTCTGCACCCCCTCACAGAGCAGGAAAGCTGAGAGTTACACCATGCCCTGCTCTCCTTCAAACAAAAATACTCAATTCCTGCTAATCCAAAGGGATGATTATTACCCGGGTTTTTTCTCCTCTCAAGTAGCTCTTTTTTTCTCTCCCCCATTGCCTGACTTGTGTCCCTAATTAACACCTTAGAGGGGGCTGAGGATAACTGAGATACTTAAGGAAGGCACTTCTGGTCAGAGCTTCTAATCCATCTCTCAGTGAGGGAGGAGATCCATTAGCAGGTGATTTAAGCGAGTAATAAGTCCATCAGCATGCAAATGGCCATGGTCCGATGAAAGGCTTGCCTGGGCATGGGGAAGAAGTCCAGCTGGGCCGCAATGGCATGTTAAGCCTCCCCTCTCTGAGAATCTGGCAGGCGTTGTTCCCCACCTCCCCAAATCTGTGCGGTTGGGTGAGTAAAGAGAAGCAGCTGTAGCGGAATGGATGGATATTGTTGGGTGAGCAAAGAGTCAGTATGAGTTTTGCATGAGAAAGTGGTGCTTTGCCAGCCAAGAAGTGTTCAAAGGAATCCACAAGGAGGTAGAGGAAGGTGATCCAGGAGCCTCACTAAAGGGGTGAAGCTGCTGGAGGAAAACAAAGGCTTTTCCCTCCT